TGAAATATTTTTTTTAACTAAATATTTACCCATACATCATCAGGTGTAGCTCAACAAACTGTGTTTATTTTATAGGTGATGGCGCCCTTTGAAGACCAACATCAGCTTGTAAAATCGGACAGTCTTGCATTAGAAATATTGAGACCACATTAGGTGTACATACATATTTTTCAGTTTAAAACTATGCAAGCACTTTGCTTGCCCAGTATGCCGTACTGTATAGGTAAAAAAAGATTGTTGTTTGTATTTTATTTTAAATTAATATTAAATAATAACTACACTGTAAATTGAGCTTTTTATTAATCTGTTAATGACTTCAAGCACGAAATTGAAAAATATTTGATAAACTTTTTGATGAAAAAATAAAGCAAGATTTTTGTGATTTTTTTTTTAATTTGCTATGCGTTAATGAGTTATACCTATTTGATGTCGTGCTTGACCAACAAGTCCGTTTATAACGTCTAATATGAGCACAGGAACTTGAAATTCTATCAAATAACCAATATTAATGATAATATCCAAATATACCCCCTATATACTATAAATAAACACAAGGAATGAAACGCCTTTTCCCCACCCCAACATATTTTACGCTGAACAAATCAACAAAACAACGGATCAAAATATTCTATCTGGCCATTTCGATAAACAATACATAGAGCGGGTTCGGGTATTTCTGAACACTTAAGCAAAAATATGTTATCTAACTAAAACAGATTGTCTTGGCAACTTCTCAAGTAGTCAGAAATGACACGGACTCACTTTTCTGCGGGATATTTCGAACAAATCATGATACATTATAGATACAAAAGCAGTACAACAGGATAAATTATGTCATTTGATGGAGGTAATTTATGAACACGTCGGGAGATTCTGAACTCATTGGAGGGTAAATCTGAACACTTTTGACTTTTTAAAAAAAACAACACAAACACTAAATACTTTCAGTTTAAACGGTTAAACGTTAAACATATGATTTGTTAGTGAATACATCCAAATTTAAAAATAAACATTCAAGTACATTTCATTAAAACAAACACACTTTCAAATAAAATTAAAATACTCAAAATAGTTAAAACATAACTTTTAAACTATTAAGTATCAGAAACATCCTAACCTTTCACAATACAGTTCATGCCATGTTTACATAATTGTTTTTTATTAAACAAAAGAAAAACTGGGTCTTTCAGAATTCTTAACATACATTCTGTTTTACTTTGTAATTCAACAGTAGTCACATTCAAATTGTAAATCTGCAATTTCACATTCAGACAATGAGAGCAAATCAATTGTTTTCACACAAGCTCTATGTAACCAACGTGGGCATTTGTGACATGTAATCCAGTTTTCGGAGTCTCCATCAAATGCCTGGTCACAAGAATAGCATTTGGTGGTAGAAAAACTTGTTTCTACATCGGCCATTTCGTCATCAGCAAGGGAGATTTCAATAGCTTCATTTTCTTCATCTGTACTATCTATATCAGAATCCTTTGATTTCCGTTTCTTTTTAAGTTCTTGCTCTAATTTTTCAATTTGTTTTTTTCTCTTTAGTTCTTCCTTCTGCTGTTCTCGTTGTAGTTTCTTTTCTTCTTTATCCTTTTGCTTTTGTTTCAGCTGCTCCTCTCGCTCCTTCTTGCGTTCCTCTCTTTTAACTTTACGTGCTTCTTTTTTAGCATTTTCTTCCTGTTTAATTTGTTTTCTTTGTTCAAGCAGATCATGAAACTTTTTACCAGATATTGCTTTTGGGAGTGGTATTCGCTTTTGTTTACTTTTGCAAGCAGATTGTTTTGCTTTTGGAAATTTCAACACATCTGTGAAGGCTGGTGATACGTTTTGAGAAGGTGACGACATAATAGGTGCTATTGCTTGAGGTAAGTTCTCACCTGAAACACGCTCAACGGAGTTGGTTGCAAGAATGGTGTCTGCATGAGAATCAGGCGTGACATGACTTTCAGATTTAGATGTACAACTGCTGCTACTTTTATCTGACACGAGTGTTTCAGGTGGGTGGTCGGAGGCAACTTTGTCAGAGGTGCTGTCACCTCTATTTGTAGCTGCTGGACTTGCCTGGGAAGATGCTGCAGCTTCTGTTGTATCGGCCTTGGAAAAGATTGTACTTGGTTCCATCTTAATAGTACCTAAAACCTTCTTTGGGTTCATTGGAAAAAGTCCACTGTCACGAAAGGCTTTTACAGCTATATCAACAGTTGTAGACTTTTCCCAGGCTTGCTTAAAAACGGCCGCAAACTTTTGTTTTGTGACGTATTCACCTATGTTGGCTATTTGGAAATCACGTACTGCTTGTTTCCAGGAATCCTTCAGTGAGCTGAATAGTTTCAGGTCGCAAGGTTGCAGCAGGTGGGACGCATGCTCAAGTAGGCAGTAAAGGATTATTTCGTGATCTCTACAAAACTTGGAGGCCTCTAATGTGCAGTGTGTAGAATGACCATTTACAAACAGGACTACAGGTCTTCTGATTTCCCTTTCAGACAGCGCAGGCTCAAATACCTCAGTTAGCCATGTAACAAAAAGTTCAGAGTCCATCCATCCGGACTCTGTCCTACCAAAGACAGCGTCAGCAAATCCTTCTAGAGGGTTATAATTAAACCTTACACCTGGATAAACAATCAAAGGTTTTACATACTGACCTGCCGCACTCATGCATGCTAATACAGTTACTTGTGTTTTATCAGAAGCAGTGAAGTTGTATATATTCGGAACACCCCTTGGCGACAAAACTTTACCACTTTTTGGACACAATGGAAATCCCGACTCGTCTGCGTTAAACCAGCGAGCGGGATTGTTCCATATGGAAGAATCAGATACCTCCTCGGCCATAAAATTACAGAATTCCTGAAACCAGCTTTCAATCTTAGCTGGGGTAATAATGGCTCGTTCTTTAGCAAGTTGTTGTGGTGTTCGTTCTCCTAATTGAGGATGCCTTTTAACAAATGCATAATACCAGTCTTTTCCCGGCCGATTATTTTTGAATGGGTTTGGTCGACCATCTTTATCCAGTATAACCTTTACTGTGTCTAACAATTCATTACGGGTTCGTCCAAACCCAACTTTGGCCATATGTAGAGCCCAATCTACAAGAGTAGATTCTTCTTCTGCAGTAAGTATGGTAGCTGGGCCGCTTTTACAACCAATTACGGTCTTCTGGTTTACTTTGTCGGATAGAGTGCTCTTTGGAATACCAAAGGATGCAGCTGCCTGATTAAGTGACATGGATTTACTCCGAATTAGGTTCACTGCATGTTGCAATGTGTCAACAGTATAGGAACGATACTTCTTTGATCCAATTTGGCGACTCATCTGAAAAAGTTTAATTAGTAAAAACAGCTTAATATAGGGGGAAAACTTACGTTCTAAACATGTATTCATTTGAATCAGGAGGAGCTGTCTTAAAATATAAATTTTCATTTGAAACTAGAAAAAATGATATTAATAAAATGATTATCAACTATAGAATGTCACAAAACGAAAAGAACAGATATAAACAGTAAGAAAGTCCTACCCCTGCTGTTTGTTTTTCAAACTAGATATTAAAACGAGCTCTTCTTAAATTTTGATGATCATGAATTAAGTCAAGTAACATGTTACAGAAAATTGTTCAGAAATACCCGAAATGAATAAATTTATTTCGGGTATTTCTGAACATCGTTTAAATGAAAATCAAATGCACCTGGGGACACAATCCATTAATAACACTTACAAGTAAGATGTACAATGTGTTTTTTTCCAGTTTAAAAGCCAATATCAACAAAAGTTAACAACAGATAATGTTAGCAAGTATTGTGTTACAATGTAAGGATGTAGTTTACAGGTGTTAAAACGATGACTTCAAATATATTTTTCAAAAAATAAAACTCACCTTGGGCAGCGTCTGCAAAAAAATTACCGGAAGTAGAAAGGGGTGTGCTTGATTTCATAATTCTGAGTTAAAATCTCGGAACAATGTTCATTTAACACGAAAATATGACAGTGTTCAGAAACTACCACGTGTTCAGAAATACCCTAACCCGCTCTAAATGCATCAAATACCACTGATAACTTTTTAAAATCGCGTAGCTGTGTAGGAATAATTCAACATTATCTGATTATTTCCCGCGATCTGAGTTTGTCGCCGACTCGATTCCGTGACGTCACTGGATTTTGATTCGAGGAGAATAATATTTATTAAAATTATTTTTAATAAGTTCTAAAAAATAACAGGTATGTATAAAACTTTTATACAAATTATTCTATGTAAAAAGATTTAAAGATCTTCATGTAAAACCTTTTTAACAAATTACTTTTATAAATACATTTGAAAGGGAAACCCCAAACAAGAACGATAAATCTTTGAAACAGTACTTTCGTTTAAAAAAAATTTTGAGTACTCTATTTGATATGGCCCAGCAAATAAATTCAGCCATGTCGTAAGAAAGACATCAGTCATTTGTTCTAGTATGACAATATTTTGCTTGCAAACTTGTTATTTTTGGAACTTGTTAAAAATAATTTTAATAAATATCATTCTCCTCGAATCAACATCCAGTGGTCACGAAATGGAGTCGGCGACAAACTCAGATCATGGGAAATAATCAGAAAATGTTGAATTATTCCTACATAGCTACGTAATTAAAAAAAGTTATTGATGGTATTTGATGCATTTATGTATTATTTATCGAAATGGCCAGACAGAATATTTTGATCCGTTGTTTTGTTGATTTGTTCCGCGTAAATTATGTTGGGGTGGGGAAAAGGCGTTTCATTCCTTGTGTTTATTTATACTGTATAGGGGTTATATTTTGGATATTATCTAATATTGATAGAATTTCAAGTTCCTGTGATATGAGAATATGAGCCTCCACAGGATTCAGACCGAACAAGCTAACGTATGAATTAAAGAAAAATGTCCGTTGTCTCTCTTTTTTAATTACAATGACATTTGAAAACAACAAAAGATCAACATTTCTTCATGTATAAATTTCATCTTTATTCATATATCATACCTGAATAACGTGAAATAGTTCTTAACATCGGTGTTTCAAAACTTTTTCTTGATCTGTGTCACGCGGCGATTGTTCAAGGTAATTAGTAAAGGGAAACAACTGTCCTTTAACTTTTAGGTATCATGATCCTTATAGCTATTCCGCTCGCCCCCCTCGGCAAATTCCTTCCGTCCACGAAGTACAGCAAAAATATATAGGCACGCGTCAACATGTAGCTCATAATAGCTTAAATATCGGTACCATTCAGATTTGATTTACTTTATTCCTTTTCATAAATAATAGAAATATAGAATATAGAAATTCAAAAAAGAAAATCATTCCTGGAGCATTTATCACAATTCGCCAAACTTGTTTTTAAATACTTTTTTGTATTCTACCAAATCATCGAGAAAAAAGTGTTTTTCTTTTTTTAATTCTGAGTGACCTATATATCTTGAACAACTTGGGGAGTTGGGAGGGGGTTGGTGCTAAGACCTTACTACAAAATTTAAAACATTGCAAGGGGAATATACTGTTGTATAGATTATTTTCGTAATCCCATCAGAGTTTCTCCCCTTCTTCAAAAATAAGCTTCCTTCCGCTTATTATTAGTCCGGACCGATTTCTTGCAACCTTACATTGGAATTAGTTCAGAAGCCTTCAATAAATATACAATTACGTGAAGCTGTACATAATGATATCGTTCTGGTTCGATATTTTCTAGCTCAAGAAAGGGTTATCTCACATGACCGCACATGTCGCACGTGATCCTCGTTGTACATTGTACTTTACATGTATAAACTTGACTACGACTTGTTACTCTTGTGTCCGGGCCACTCCTGGTACTGCCGCAAAGGGGAGACACTTAGCTACTCAAAGACCATTTATTCTAGGAAGTCAACCAACTGAATAGTTCGAGGTTAGATGCACAAAAATAAAATAGCTATCTCTCAGGGCACACGGGCCTCTCCTATCATTTTACTAAAGACTAAGTGCGGTATTTTGCCTCAATCTTTCCGTCTCCAATCTAGCAGTGTGCTGCAGAACATATATATAGTGTTATGTTTGTTACAAAGGTACAAAGGTGTTTGTAAATGTGGGGAAGAAAAAGGCGCACGTTCTTAGTTCACTCTCGTAACAGTCTCTTCTGATCTTGTTTTTAAATGGCTGCCTTATAGTGCCGAAATGTAGAAGCTGTCAGCTATCCAACATGCCCTATTGTGTATTCGCCGATGTTAGACCACGGAATTGGTTGAAATGAGACGGGAAAATAGCGAATGAAAGAAATATTCTGACCTTTTACGACAAAGGAAGTGTTCTGATGCACTCAGTCGCTGACGGTACGGCTTGATACATTGGTGTTTCTATATTACTATAAAGGGAATCAGACCAATGGGTACAAGGTAGGTTCCAGAATGTATGATTGCCAAAATTTATAGAGTAATACGGAAAAAAGTAGCCGTAACGACTAGGTTCATTGTCTTCCGATAGGCGCCAACGAAAACGCCATACTGACAGTGACTGCAAGATAGACACGACGATGTATGTGAGGTAAACTTTTAATCTATATTCTTTTCATTTCATATATTGTTTTTAAGAATTGCAGAGATACAGCTATTATGTTAAAAGATAAGTTGACTATATCAGTATAAATAAAAAGGCGTTGTGAAAAGCAACCAATTTCATTAGGAGGAAAATGTGGCTACTAGTATTTAGCCCATTGTAGCTATTTTAGCAAAGCCTTGCAACAAAAATAGACCTACGATGGGAGAAAGAAGCGTCGAAACTGATATATGTTGCCAGTCTTTGTGTAATTCAATAGTCAAATATCAAACAGTATTTAAAATTGTGTAACTGTCAGTTTTGTTGGTTTTGTAATGTGTACAAAAAAATGATTATTTTTCCTATTGCAGAATCTTCATTATTCCTTTTCCGGACGACGAAAACGGGCTACATGGGCATGGATGTTTGAATTGGCTGGAATAATACCAGTATCTATAGTATTGTGATCATGGATTTAGCTGCCATTCTCAGAGGGGCGCATTCAAAATGACTAGAACTGATTAAAAATACTTATCTATAGTTTATTTTACAAAAATATTATACTAATACTAAAAGCTAACCAAAGTATCCAATGCAAAACAAGTACACCTAAGGACAGAGTAAGGGATCCTATTATTTATTAATCCAGAAGAGTTCCAAGTGTGTATATTTCGACCGATGTAGCGCAAATTTGAGACACAAAGTGATTTCGATGGAACTAATGAACACAAATTCACTGATCATCTCAGCGAAGATATGTCTCGAAACGTCCTTACTTTGTGTTGCATGTAATGTAAATGGTTACGATAAGTTAAAGCCATATGGATTCTGCATCCACGGAGCGATCGACGGGTACAGTCGACGCATTTTATGTCTCGAAGTATCAAACAGCAACAGCTTGCCCGCATTGATTGCGTCATACTACATTGACACATTTAACGAATTAGGCATTTTACAGAAATGTATGTCCAAGATCTTACTTAATTTCAAGTTCATGTGCATATATGTTTTGAATATAACTGGCGGGTTCAGAAACGCTATATTTTCTTAAACTTTTAACAAAACGTTTAAAAATAAGTATATTGTTTTATTTCATCTGAACTCGAACACTTAGCAGCGTTGGTTTGGGGTACAATTCTTGACTACTCTAACTGCAAGAAAACAAGACATGGACACATCTTACTTAGTTTATTTTTTTTTTAAATAAAAGGCCTTCACATGTCTTTTGTAAAAATCTGACATCTGACTAGTTTAAACCCTAATAAGTTTATCTCGACATTTCGTTATTTTGGTATTTTCGACAGCCCAGATGACTTCGAGATTACGAGAGTCGACTGTATTTGCTTTAACTGCTTTTCACCACCATAACTGAGTTTTTCTTGAACTGTTTTGACTTATAAATATTTACACATACTCATCATAGATTTTATTGGATTATACCATAACTTTAGACCTTTTTGTATCATGTTACCTATCCCTGAGATCATACACGGGGGGTGGAACCCCATATGTATCACTTATGGATCTCTTCAGCACATATGGAGCTCAAATGCAATTTTGAGCAGCGATTCCTTCGTTTATAGCCAAATGTCAATAAATGCTTAAATCAGGATTTGTCTGAATGTTAAGCATCGGTCTGTAGTGAGATTTCGTAAAATCTCTGTTTTGTGAGTCCGTTTAGCATAATGACAATTTCTTCATTCACATTGCATGTTTTGGACACACCATAGAAGTGAACGTCCACGACGGAAAGAATATCTCGATGAAGACTGCATAGAAATCCAAAACAAAATAATGTCTAATATAGAGGAGAGTCAGGAGGGTAGAATCACATTTCGATTTTCTTAAAAAAAGGATTGAATTTTAAATTACTTGTTTAAAAAGATGAAAACTTACCCTGCGATTGACCTATTTTTAAAGTCACATCTGGTGTTATGCTTCACATCTGACTGGTGCAGCGGAAATTTTACCGATGCTCATTTTTGAGATACATATGGGGTTCCATCCCCGTGTAAGACCACAGGAACCTGAAATTCTACCCAAAACAAAAAAATAACGATTAAAAAAAATCTCATACATATACTATAAAAAGTGTTTTTTTATAGTATATGTATGGGATTTTTTTTTTTGAATCGTTATTTTTTGTTTTGGATAGAATTTCAGGTTCCTGTGGTTAGACAGAGGTACTTCGTTAAAATTAAGGCAATGGCTATTTTTTTTATTTAAGTGGCCACTGTGATCTTGACCTAGTAGAAATGGAAACACGGAAGGATTGACCGCTGATGCAAAAGTGCACATACATGTAATTTTGAATGTAGAACAGACACACAATTTGAACGGGCCATTTATTGAAGCTCAGACGTTGAATTTTTATAACACGACCCGCATATTTCCCCCATTGAACATAGTGTGTAAATGCTACAAGTTCTATATTTAGACATGTGACGTAATCATTATACATGTGACGTAACCACCACTAAAAATAAGTACGGAAACAAATCAGGTGCAATTTAGCTTAAAATAAGGTACAGCAGCATTAATTTGTTTATGTCGTGTTAAAATCGAAATAATACATGTATATCCAATTTGGTGATTTTATCGCTTGATAAAATCACTGTTTGTCGTTCGGATGCGCATCATTATATCACTCGGGCCACGCCCTCGTGATATAATTCTTCGCATCCGAACTCCAAACAGTGATTTTATTGAGCGATAAAATCACAGTTTGTGATATATTATTTCTGAAACAGTTCAATAGGTTTTCAACAAGATTCCTGGCATCATTTAGCACAAAAGATATTATCAGGACGCACAAGTTGAAGGGTCAGAATTCACATACATCTTATGTTAAAATTATAATGTATAATTGATTATATTACATTGTATTATTATCTAATGAATTTTAATAAATAATATAATTTATAATAATTAATTGTTCACGAATGCCAACACGAAATCCAGTTACATGTTCGTTGTAAGTCATTGTAAATGCTCCACAATTCGTTTAATGGCTGTCAAAAGCTTTCTGTTATTCGAAGACAACACTCAAACAAGTTTCTCGGTTTCGTTACAATGAGGCTGTGATCCATAAAGTTCTGGCATATCTGTATTTATTATATACTTATAAATGAAATATTGAGAAATATTGATGAAATAAAATGCGTATTTTCATTTTCCGTATTTTCACTGTAAAAATTTATTTTTCACTGCAGTGAAACATATTTTCCGTATTTTCACTGGTGTCTTGCCGGACTACTTTCTTTTAATTCTGCCAGTACACAAAATTTAAGGGAAAGTCTTTTAAATTTTAATGTCAAAAAAGAGAAAAATGTATATAATAAACAGAAAATTAAAGTTTTTTCTATAAATACATGATTTATTTTCATCTTGTGGCATAAAAATTACCATATTTCACTCGTGGCTACCGCCACTCATGAAATATTTATTTTCATACCACTCGATGAAAATAAATCATGTATTAATAGAAAAATAATGAATATCCTCTATGTCTTCTTGATCAACACGATGACCAAAGTTATGCCCACCATAGATTCCAGGTACAAACATGATCATGTCTTCAGTAAGGTATTTCAAAATTATTTTGGGCTTAGGTTCTGCTTGGATCAAATTCATAAAACAATTTTTCACACACCCGTGCCGATTTTGCGACTCCGTAAATATGGTATTGCACGGCCGTGCATATATTTTGACGTGACGTCATTAGCGTTATACAAACATAGTGTAAAGACGCGCTAAACGTTAGCGTTATACTATATGCGCGTCAATGAATAATGACTCTTATTGCACTTTAAACTGTCTTTATATTTGGTATGTGATAAATAGAATATTAAATTCGTGTAAGTTCATTTCTGAATTTATTGCACTCTTTGAATAAAATAATATTATGCTCGCCAGAGGCTCGCATAATATAATTTTATTCAACTCGTGCAATAAATTCAGTATTGAACTTACACTCATTCAATATCCTCTATATCTGAGGCGTTCAATGTGAACACGATTTGTAATATCCAAACTTTGAAATCAATAAGATCCTTGAAAACTAAATCCACCCACGAAGTTATCCCTACCAGGATTCTAAACGCTTATTTCCCTACATAGAACTTTTCAACCCTGATTCGCTTTCTGTGCCGTTATATCTGAAAAATGGTTGAAGCAATGCTAGCGTTGATTTTCAGTTCATCTAATATGTCTTGGTAAGTATGACGCTTATCACTGCGGGCGAGTTGTCGCTGTTTGATACTGTTTGAGTCGACCGTGCAGATCGCTCCGAGGATGTAGAATCGACATGGCTTTCATTTACATACCACACAAAGTTAATCAGTTCTAGTCAAATGTTCACCTCTTAGAACGACAGCTAAATCTGTGATTACAACACGTGTTACTAGTGTTATAACAAGCTGCCAAATTTCAAACATCTATGCTAATTTAGAGATCATTTTCGTCGTCCGAAAAGGGATGAAGAAGATTCTGCAGGAAAAATTATCAAATTATTTTAATACACATTAGAAAACCGACATTTTTTAATTATTATAAAACTAACAAATAAACAGTTTAAAATACTGTTTCAAATTTGATAATTCGTTAATTACACAAATTACAGGCAACATATACCCGTTTTAACGGTTGTGTCTTTCGTCGTAAATTATTTTGGTAGACAGTTTCGGCTAAAATAGCTAGAACTGGCTAAAATAGCCACTTATGGAGTTTTTCCCAGCTTGTTCGACCTTTGCCTCCCATTGAAATTGGTTGTTTTTTACCCGGCCTTTATATATAAGATATAATCACTTAATCTTTTAATGTTTAGCTACAGTATATCTCTGCAATTCTTTATATGAAATAATAAAATTAAAGAATATATAACACTTTATAAGAGGTTATCTCACTTACATCTTCTCGTCTGTCTTGCAGTAAATATGGCGTTTTCCCGCTTTTACGGAACCTTTAAGTTCTAAGAGCTAAGACCTAAGTTCTAAGATATATAAGTTCTACCTAACTCAAAACGGCCGCAATGGGCTTCCGTAGCTTTCCACAAATCGTAATCGTACCGTGTGCAAAAGTAAACTCATATCCAGAAACATCGTTAATGTATCGTAGTTAAACAGGAGTATTCACTTTGTGTTGTTCTGAACTGATTTTAGACAAGGAATTAATCAATTATGCCTCCTAAATTTGTAAGTATAAATGCATTATTACATAGTTTATACAAAGTTTATACATTTTGAAAAAAGTATTTTCATTTAGTTAAGAAAGTAAGTTACAATTGCAGTCAGCTACAAGTACATTTATCTTTATCGATCAAAAACATTGCTGTATTTATTTCCTGGTGAGGAAAATATTTTAGTTTAATATACTGTAAAGAAGTCACATTGTGGAAAGAGTTAAATGGGAAGTTTTGCAAACTAGTACAAGGTGGAAAATGTATACGGAAACAAACTATTACGATTTTCGTAAAGTTTCATCGTTTCTATTATTCAGCGAAACTTGTGTATATTAAATTTTCTCCTCATATAAACTTGTTGCTGATAAGCCTTTGCCACTAGGATATAGTACCAGTCTTGTCAAAATATATTGATGTGTCAAAGCTCTTGATGTCCTGTCCAGTGTGCACATCCTACCAGTCTGAGAGTCTTGATAGCTCATTTATGAATTCTTACTTTTAAATAGCAACTAAGGAAATTCTTAAAAGCTAAGGCCGTAAGGGATGTACTGTAAGGGAAATCTAAAATAACGAAGGGAAATTTTCCCCTTAAATGAGCTTTATGAATACGGCATCAGCTAGGTCTATTTTATACTAAATCAATTCTTGCATGTAGCATAGTGTTATTTTTGGAACTGATTTTAATCTGAAAGAGTGCTCAGAGTTGGAATCCTATAACTTTGAATGGTTCAAAGCTGGTCAAATCCATTACATAAATTCAGTAGGTATAGGTATAATTTGAGACAAACAAAATCATAATAAATGTTATAATTGTTGAAGCATTGATATCTTATATATATATCAGTTTTGTATATATCAGCATGACTAATGTAGGAAATATTTCACGACAAAACACAGCTGTTCATTTTGCTGATTTATCTCTAGATTTTCCTTTTCCAAACCAGAGACTCATATTACAGATATTAAATATAGCTATGTGTCCAACCAAACTTAGTACATCTAAAAATCCTCTCTCTAAATATATATAATTAATGCTGAAAACTCTTTACAAGTACCCTACAGTATTGTAGCATTTTTCATGAGTTTTTATATGAAGTCTATATATGTATTAGAATATAAGCGTTTTAAAAGCCTGAACTTCAGACACATATAATGTAATTATGTATAAAAGATACATGTTCTTGAAAGGTGTAGATCAGCTGTGTAAAATAAGTTGATTTATAACTATATCTATCATGCTGGGAGAGAGGTTTTATAACCACTCAACTAAATTTTTAATTAAATAACATCCACTTGAGATAGGTACTTTATAATAGATATTCGTGATGTGAAAATTGTAGATTTCACGATGTAAATACTCCACTTAGTTGAGTAACTAAAAGATATATAGTAAAAATTCTCCTCTTATCTGGTCTATCTCTGAAAAAAATCCAAAAATGAAAACAAAACAAAAAAAAGCAAAAACAAAACGAAACAGAAAAAACACAGCCAACAACTAGGCAACAACAAATACTACAATGCTTTATGTTTAAGCATGTTGCGAGCTTGTGCAGACGAATTTAATGTAAGGTAATAACCGTTACGAACGTTTTATTCCTTTGTGAGCACCTTTCAGAGCGATATTTTAAGCTTAAGCGTATGTATACATAAAATTAAAGAGGATGTTCACGTTTTTCAATAAAAAAGAAAATGTGGCCCCTTTAAAATAAGATAACTTTAACATCATATATTTAATGTCTGTATTAAACACATTTCTAAAGGTGCACTGCGTTGATGTTGCGTGTGTGTAACGGAAATCAATAAATATTTCATTCATGCACATTATCACGAGACTTAATCCTTTAATTATGACTCATATTAGTAAACACTTTGTTACGCCCTATTCCAAATATAGAAATCATCAAAATTAATACATCAGATTTGAATGATTAATGGATTCATGTGATAGGAGTAGTAAATTTTTCAAATGTTTAACATAACTTTCATGGATACATTTTATGGCTAGAATATGATACCTTTTATCATGCCTTTATATAGTGTCCGAGACTCGAGTTTATGTAATGTTTTGAACGAAAGCCTTTAGGGGCCATATGAGTATACCATCTTCAAATGACCCTGATAGGCTTCCGTTGTTATGTGTGTCATTAGCCTTTGCCAGTAGTATAGAGTCAAGCTAGCCGGCACATCCATACAGTCTGACTTGGCTTTATACTGTTTGCCGACTTACATATTATTTTCATCTTGATATCCCAAAAAAATGATTACTAGTTAGTATTTACTGCTCTTAATACGGAAGCTGGACCAAGTCCATGTAAAATATCAGCAAATCAGGGGTTAATCACGTAGTCATATTTATAATCACCATTCTTATCTAAAGCTAGAATCTTAGTTCCTATTTATAATTACACACATGAAAAACTACAAGACGTAATTGTTTGCTACTCAATCTACAATAAGATTATTTATTGACGGTAACCTGTGGGTGTATTTTCGTTTTCCGATGCATTCCATCAGATATTAGTGCCAACAATCTGTTATCTACATTCTTCAAGACATAAATGAAATGAGTAAAACATACATACATCTACTTCATGTTAACACGTGTTTCTACATTACATTCTCATATGTTAGCGTATATATATGTGTGCACTCTTCATAACAAACAATAAACAATGAAGAAAATAATAACACATATATCATTGTTGAAAACTTTCCAAGCTGTACTCGTTACTCTAGTACATTTATAACTAAAATTGATTTCTTACAGCTATTTCTGTTTTCCGGGGAAATATGCCAGTTTTTTGTTTATTTGTAGAATTGAAGTCACGAGTGATCGTTTTTTTTCTGTACTGAAGTAATTAAAATTTTACGCATCTGTTGCCATTTTCGCTTTGCAGTTCCTGTTACAACTACGATTTTTAACCTCTGCAAAACGACTCTCTGTAGAGCGGTTACCTCTTTGCAACAAAAGTATTATTTCTTCCCAAGGTAAAAAATCACAACAAATTCAACATCTCTTAAGCAGAAATCAAAATATTAGGCTCCGATGCAAAGGTTATACTTAGTGTACTGTCTTACTTCAGTAACATATTTATGTCAACACGCACGTTTGTTTTGTGGTGTCATGCTTTATTTATTTATTTATATATTTATTTATTTATTTATTATATATGTGTTTATATAGTCTCGCATATTTATAACGTATATCTGTTATAAATATCAAATCAGGTTTAAAGTACTTACCGCTTTAAGTCATCTCAAAATTACTGTTTTATATGTGACATAACTTGAAATCACGTCTATTAAAGCCCTTAAGAACGTGTATTAGACAATAAATTAGTATTTCGTTATTGCATTTTTTGCTGTACGCAAAATGCGCATGCGCGAAATGCAACATCCGTTAATATGGAAAAATCGTATTGTAAAAATATACATTTATTTCTAGGGCGGTGGAGAGAAGTGCGACATTTGTAAGAAGTCGGTGTATGCCAATGAGAGAATTGAAGCAGGCAAGAGGCCATTTCATAAACTTTGCTTTAAGTGCAGCATATGTAAAATGACTCTAAAGTAAGTTTTCTTAGATTTTACTGTACAATATAATATCATTGTTAAAAATTGATATTGAAAATAGTGATAATATTTGATTCTCTTCAACTTTCAAGCTAGCTATTGCTTAAAAGCAATAAAGTTATGAAAATGATAAGAAAATTTGGAATTTGACAGAAAAAAACAAAACTACCTTCCTGTTATAGTTATTTGTTGCAATAACTGGTATTACGGATTGAATTAACTGTGGCGATTCATTAATTTTACTAATGAACCCAGAAAAAAAGGAAATAAATATTTGAAAAGTCTCAGACAATATGTATTTCATCTATTGAAGGATCATAAACTTTACGAAAATCATTATACTTAGAATAAAGACTTAATGCATTTACCATGTATTTTCAATTGTATTTAACATCATTGTTTTACTTTTATTCTATCTATAGTTTCGAAACATTCTATTTTACCCTACTGTATATATTCGACAAATCTTAAAATCGGAACATCTCGGCTATTTATAATCGATAATATCAAAGTTAGACGGAAATATTTCAAAACTTATACTTCACATAATAAATTATTCTTCTTATGATTATAAACATGATTTAGTTTCAATAAAAATTTGAATCTCGCAAGCTCAATGGATGTTTCAAAAATAAGTTTTTATTTTTTCATTTTAAGTTTAGTGTTAAAATTCGGCTAGAAATTCTATGCCATGACTTAAAAATTTGTTTTTGCAGTAAACATAATCGTGTTCGTATTTTCACTGCAAATACATTATTCACTGTTTTTCAGGCTAGAAAATTACGCACAGGCGGACGGTATTCTTTACTGTAAGAAACATTACCAACAACAAATCGTGGCTAAAAATACACAAGAACCGGCTGCTGCGCTTTAGAACGGACGGACAAACGAATGTAGAACAATAACATTACGTAATGGAGTACAGAAAACTGTTATATAACTGATACAAAACATATATGTAAATGTTAAACATATTCGACTATATTATACATGTATACGTTTGCTGTGTAAAATATGTGTTTTAGTAGATTTTTAATGAAGCACGATTTTAATATGTTAAATTAAAGACATGTAAAATGATGTCATGGGAAAAGGCTATAAAAATATTGCAATGTCCTATCTTTTGGTTAATGCCAATGCATTAAAGGTATTCCAACGAAATATGCTATTCTGGTTTCAAAAGAAAATAGACCCGAAATAGAGGTGCATGTACACATAAGTAGCATAATGTTATAAGAATGACAGCAATCTGATAACATTTGCATTCAATTTAATATACATGTATCTAAAGTGACAGAGCGTACATGTAGTATTTAGCGAAGTTTATTGTAAGTTGATTCTATTCGCATAAAAAAGGGCACGTGATTTACCATTCGAACTCGTGGTATTGACGATTTTCAATATATAGTAGTGGTTAACCTTTTAGATACAAAGTACCATTTTAGGAGGATGACATCATATATTATCGAAACGTTACAAATAAAAAATGTATTCTTTTTATTACAATACCTTGTGTTGCAGTTTTGTTAACTTACGTAACGTAACTATTCAAAAATAACATAATTGTTAGAATAGTAATTTTTATTAAAGACATGTGTTATATGTATATCGTGTTTGTTTGTTTGTTTTCTTTTTGCTTTTTAAAAAAAAAAAACAAAAAACTTGCGTGTGTTTTTGAAAATGAAATATTGGAAGATAGAGAAACAGTGATTGAGCTATTCCAGATGATAGAAATTGGAAGCGTTCACTTGCTAACACAGTGCAAACCAACCAGTTGGCTGGTAAGTCAATTAGAACCACGCTTCTCAGTACGCTCAAGACGAGTCGCTTTTAATATCATGAAGGTCCGCTAAAACCACAGCTCCCGGACATCCGGAATGTCATGTAGGTCCTCGCCAACTAGTTAGCTCACTAAAACCCGGTACATTAAGTTGTGTCTGCTTAAGACGGGAACTTCGTGTATCATGTAGGTATACGTTATCAGTGAGCTCAAAGCAATTTGGTATATCATGTAGGTATACGTTATCATTGAGCTCTCGGGAACTTGGTTTGTCATGTTGGTATACGTTATCAGTGAGCTCACGGGAACTTGGTATATCATGTAGGTATACGTTAAACATTGAGCTCACGGGAACTTGGTATATCATGTAGGTATGCGTTATCATTGAGCTCACGGGAACTTGGTATATCATGTAGGTATACGTTAATCATTGAGCTCACGGGCACTTGGTATGTAGGTACACGTTAATCATTGAACTCTCGGGAACTTGGTATATCATGTAGGTATACGTAAATCAGTGAGCTCACGGGAACTTAGTATATCATGTAGGTATACGTTAATCATTGAGGTCACGGGAAATTGGTATAACATGTAGGTATACGTTAATCATTGAGGTCATGGGAACTTGGTATAACATGTAGGTATACGTTAATCATTGAGCTCATGGGAACTTAGTATATCATGTAGGTATACGTTAATCATTGAGCTCTCGAGAACTTGGTATAACATGTAGGTATACGTTAATCATTGAGCCCTCGAGAACTTGGTATAACATGTAGGTACACGTTAATCAATGAGCTCACGGGAACTAAGTATATCATGTAGGTATACGTTAATCATTGAGGTCACGGGAACTTGGTATAACATGTAGGTATACGTTATCAGTGAGCTCATGGGAACTTGGTATAACATGTAGGTATACGTTAATCATTGAGCTCATGGGAACTTGGTATAACATGTAGGTATACGTTAATCATTGAGCTCATGGGAATTTGGTATAACATGTAGGTATACGTTAATCATTGAGCTCATGGGAATTTGGTATAACATGTATGTATACGTTAATCATTGAGCTCACGGGAACTTGGTATAACATGTAGGTATACGTTAATCATTGAGGTCACGGGAACTTGGTATAACATGTAGGTATACGTTAATCATTGAGCTCATGGGAACTTGGTATAACATGTAGGTATACGTTAATCATTGAGCTCATGGGAACTTGGTATAACATGTAGGTATACGTTAATCATTGAGCTCATGGAACTTGGTATAACATGTAGGTATACGTTAATCATTGAGCTCATGGGAATTTGGTATAACATGTAGGTATACGTTAATCATTGAGGTCACGGGAACTTGGTATAACATGTAGGTATACGTTAATCATTGAGCTCATGGGAACTTGGTATAACATGTAGGTATACGTTAATCATTGAGCTCATGGGAACTTGGTATAACATGTAGGTATACGTTAATCATTGAGCTCATGGGAACTTGGTATAACATGTAGGTATACGTTAATCATTGAGCTCACGGGAACTTGGTATAACATGTAGAACCACTCCAACCATTTTGTACTAAGTATGTCATGAAATACATGTAGAAAGAAAAGAAAACTTATAGAATACAGGCTCAGTTTAGTTGAACCTGTTCATAAACGAAAGCGGTATATACAATCAACTGTTCAAGCTCCTTAGCACCGGCTTAAGCAGACTTCAACACCCAAACATGCAAATGGTGAATTTAGAAACATCCGTAAATGTGTTCATATGACGGCTATCACGGAACATTCGAATTGAAACGTTCATGTTATTCCATGAAAACCGGCGCATGGTCCCTAAGTAAAAGAATGCATGTTTCCTAAACCAGTAAACAAGAGGCGAAACTAAATCATGTAGAATTTTTGAAAGTGGATCAGTGGTTATGGTTAAAAAATAAAAACAGTTGACTATCCTAAATGTGCATATATAGATATATACATGTAGTATTTATATGGAAATACTGGAACCATCCAAACAGAGAAAAACTAAAAATACCCTCCCAAAAAAACACCATATTGTTGTCATGCTGAACAACCTTCTAGGATCGGAAATATTACATTACATTTACGGTTGCCGCATGGCTCAAACAACGCTGATGTGACGATAGAATTGAAAACAATAACAACAAAACAACACTTAAAAAACAAAAACAGAAACATTCAAGAATGTATGAAGCAAATCAAGATGCACTCCTAATAAGTCGAATCTAGCCATCTAAACTCTTTGCCTGAAGCATTGGAGTTTTATCTTCACGTGACATCTAGTTTCAACTGTGTAATCAAAGTTGTGGTAATCAAAATAATGTTTGTGTCATCAGAATATTTAAATCTCTCACTCTCAGTTCAAAGCAATCTACAAATATAACAATATACAAATGTATAACCAACAGACATTGTACATAGCATTTTACTATAGTATGCTAACACAATTTTTTATGTTTTCATATCATAAATATAATGCTCAAATGAAGATTTATCAATATTGTAAGTTCCCAAAATCGTTATTTGTAAAGATATAACCGAATTTACATTTTCATGAAAATAAAGGGAGGTACATGCTATTAGAAATTTATTTTCTATAAAGTCTAAGACAAATTTTTCAATAAGGAATGAGTGCATACATTTTAATAATTACATATAATGTACACCAATATACATATTCTTCGATGTTTGAAAATTGTTTTAGAAGCATAATTATATACATATATAAAATTTCACTTAAGTGTGGTAAAAACCTGAATTAGTTAAAAGCACGAGACCATAGATATTATATAAGTGTTCATATAATTCAGGAGCGTGGCTTGGACTGTTAATAGTCGAGATTTTGACTCAACATTGGCAAGATTGTTGCTAAAAGTCACGTGATATGGCGACTCTACACAACCTGTCACGTTAATTCGTCTTTATTTGTTTCTGACCTAGGACAGAAAATAATGATATATTTTTTGTACCAGATCAGACTTAATCAAAAGAACTTACATTATATATTTATTGCTCGTAGCTGGTTCTTTCCAGAATGTAACTCTAAGTTAAAATGGTTTCATCTTTATCTAGGCATTTGAATTCTAAAATTCGAACGTCTATGCTGAAAACAATAGTGCTATTGAGTAATGGGGCTGAGGCTCCGAGGCCTTTGCTGAACATACATTTGATGCTTTTTTCTGAAGTTTCTTAGCATTTGTACAGCTGCCTTTTTAAGAAAAGGAGAACAAAATAACTCCTATAGTATATTTCAAGTTTATTTAAAACTATATTATCACCGCTTCGTTCCTGGGCAGGTAGTCTCAATATTTCGACTGCAAGACCTACCGTACCGACTTTACAATCTGATGTCTGTCTGACGGGCGACCATCGTCTATATGATAAAAAGCCCTAAAGCGCACCATTTGTTGGGCTACTGGGAAGACTGTAGAGGAGTTTGCCATTATAAGTGCCTTCGCTTTCACAGGCCGTCAAGGAAATGATAACCTCTGTACATGCCAGGGCAGAGGTACAGTGCGAATGACGTAGAAAAGGTTTTGATAATCATGTGATCGAAAGTGACCGGAAATCAAACCCAAGTCGCCTGATTCACAGTCAAACGCTCTACCTGTTGAGATAACAGCACAATTTCGCTGTATGTAATCTATGTTTAATAAGGGTTCATCCGCCAGCACCCTAACTTCCTCGTCGTCCTTGTCCTTTGTCCCTCCTCCATTCCCCTCGGCTTCAATCAGGAATGATGTTAAAGCAGCACTCCTCCAGATTCGTGCTAATTTTCAATGAAAATTTTGAAAATGTATTTGAATGTGTAAATGTAAAGTAACCAAAAGGAAACAATTTACATATCTATTATCAATGGCACTTACAAACCACATAAATAACGCCAAAAAATGGTCGAAATATGCCCAAATAAACTTTACTGCGTTAGTAACGCAGTAAAAATATAGTAAAGTCACATACTATGTCAAATATTAATTGAATCTTGAAACATTTTACTTTTCCTTACATCTTAGTAAATTTTTCTCAAGTTTGATTTTATTGAAATATTTTTGACTCAACTGGAATGCAGCTTCAGGGTCTTTCAAATAGAATTGATTCTATTTGAAAGACCCTGGTAGCTTTAATGTGCCAGTGAAGCAAGGGAAGCAATAGAGATAAATTATTGATTTACTTCCCTTGGACTACAAATAAAGTAAAAATGAAAAGAAATTTCAAAGCGGTTAGTTACTGAACTGCAAGTTATTCTTTAATAATAAAAATGTTGTCTTATAATCACTGATCAGTAAATACACATTTTACACACACACCATTCATGTCCATCCCTTTCAAAAGTAATTAGGAAAACCCTCGGTATACACAATGAAGTTATCTGCCCAAAGTAACAGGTGTTTACAAAGCATCCCGCTAGAGGTCGCTTACATGACGTCACAGGCGCGCGCTGTTTAACAATTGTTTACAACTGAAAATCAATTAAAGACTAATAAATATTTACTTGGCTGCAAAAGTTAAATTTATTAAAGTTTGGAGAAGAGATTTAGCGGCGAGTTGCAAGGTAAGTGCATATGTTATTTCATACTTTAATTTGGTTTGTGTATTTGATTGATAAACAAAGAAACTCGTGGCAGACGTGTGTAACTAGGTCACGCTTGGGTGATCGCGAGCTGTCAAATCTAAAAACGTGTACTACCCGTAGAAAACACCTGTCGCAAAGACTATTTCTGTATGTTTTTAAGTTATCTCAAGAACGAGCAGGTGAAATTTATCATATATGAAGGGAGTTTGAGCTGTAGATTAACAAGTTTACATTCACAAACATGTCATAAATCAAATTGACGAGACAATGTGATTGTGTAAAGGATTCAAATTTTTATGGCTACAACTTTGGTTTACGTTATTTCTGGTGATATGAATAAAAGGTCTTTCTTCTTATAAACATTTTAATTTGAGTAAGCCATGAACAAATTGTATTAAAGTGCACTAACCAAAAATATTTATAAGTGAAATTTTTTAGCAGATTCAAATGTGCTTTAGACGTTAAGTTGATAAGAATTAAGATCTAAAAATCTAGCTGTATTGCTTATAAATGTAGTTCACCACTTGTGCTTGCTGCCCACCTAATCAAGGTAAAATCTAACATGCTGATTTGCATCATGTAGTCGACATCTATAATAGACCTGTCAAAACTCAAATCTAAAAGTTATTTGTATTGTTTTTATCATTAAACTTAAACTTTGATGGACAGTTTACTTTTTACTTGCAGTAAAGATGCAACAGTTAATTGCAGTTAAATTCAGTGGCAGTACATTTTTAAGGTGTCTGTCGCCTAGTTGTAAAAGTTGTTGACTTTAATTTTAAATCACTTGCCACTCACTGCTTTGGGTTAAAATAACTAGGCATAAATGTCTACCACATCAAGACGACATGTCATGACAAATACCCATGTCTCTACCTTCAAGGTCAAGGTCACACTAATAGTTTGAAGGTACTCATTCTCTCCAGAAGAATTTGAAGATACACATTCATGTCCGGACTGTTACTTTGTCATGCATGGAAGGATTTTAAATAACTTGGCACAAATGTCTACTACATCTAGACAATGTGTCGTGGCTAAGGCTCATGTCCATCTGTCGGTGTGTCTCCATTTACACAACAATCATGTCCTGACTGTTACTTTGTCATGTATTGAGGGATTTTGAAATAATTTGGCACAAAGTCTATCTCATAACAACATTTTGTCGCAGCCAGGAACCACATCCCTTCTTATAAGGTCAAGGTCACACTTATATTTTGAAGGTTCATGCTATCACAATTAGAGATTACAGGTACAATAATACAAAGAACAATAGCAATTAGTTACTTTCATTCTCTTTTCTTTTCATAATACCTGCATGCTTAAGAAACTTTTTGGGGGCATTCGTCACTTGGGTGACAGCTCTTGTTTATTAGATTGTTCAGCGAGTACCCTTTAACCCTTTATCCCATAAAGCCATTAACGATTAGTTTTCTAGTAATTAAGTGCCACATTTGATGACATAATTTGTTTACATCAATATCACCAATCCTAGAGTGGTGATGGTGGTGTTGGTAGTTTATCCTCCAGATCACGACAGTAAGCCACATTGAACCAAAGCAGAGTTCAGACACAGCATCGTTCCTGGGCTGGTTGTCAAGCAGTTCATGAGTACTAGTTGCCTTACGCTCCCTTCGCAGCTTACTGAATGCACAAACGCTAGCGTTAGTGAAACATTCAACTGATGCGCAGGAGAGTATAGTTGCCTTCACTTTTGCAAGGAACTGATAAACTTCGGTACATGCAAAAGCAGAGGTACAGTGTGAACAACAGGAAAATGGATATTATGATCAATCACAACAAAATTGTCCTGGAATCAAACCTGGTCACCTGATTCGCAGTCCAATGCTCAACATATTGAGCTAACCAGACGGTTTCAGTCATAGGGTCAAGGTCAATATCACTGTCTATTGTCTGTCATTCCATACAGAGCAGGCAACTCAAAAAGTATGACTGTGGCCCCTATTTCTTTTATAAATAAGTTTCAGTTATGATTCTCTTTATTTTAATCATGCTATGTTTAAAAAATCTGTTTGCTTGTTTAAATTTTCCTTTTAAAAAAAATTAAAGAACCTGTAGGAATTTAGGAAATGCCTTTACATCCACAAAAAATCCATTTACATTTAATTGTGTAAAGTAATCAAGCAAGTTTTAATTGTATTCGTAACTAAATAAACTAGAACTGCCACTATCATGGCGTGAATACCCCCGCATACCACTCAGAATCAACAGTGGCCATTTAGAACTCAAGGACAACCTCCCTGCCAAATCTGAGGTTACTAAGCCAGTGCATTGCTAAGTTATGTATTCTACATGCTTCAAATGTGAAAATGTCAAAATCAATACACTCTGGACAGGCATTCTGAAGCAATTGAGGGGAAAAGCTTTATTTTGACAAGGTCCCTGTGACCTTGACCTTTGACCCAGTGACCTCAAAATCAATACGGATCATTTACTAATCATGACTAACCTCCATGCCAAATATGAAGACTGTAGGTCATAGGAACCTTAAGTTATTGGGCGGACAAGCTTTTTGAAGTCAAGGCCCCTGTGACCTTGACCTTTGACCTGGTGACCTCAAAATCGATAGGGGTCATCTACTAATCATGACTAACCTCCATGCCAAATATGAAGACTGTAGGTCAAAGGAATCTTAAGTTATTGGGCGGACAAGCTTTTTGAAGTCAAGGCCCCTGTGACCTTGACCTTTGACCTGGTGACCTCAAAATCAATAGGGGTCATCTACTTATCACGACTAACCTCCATGCCAAATATGAAGACTGTGGGTCAAAGGAATCTTAAGTTATTGGGCGGACAAGCTTTTTGAAGTCAAGGCCCCTGTGACCTTGACCTTTGACCTGGTGACCTCAAAATCAATAGGGGTCATCTACTAATCACGACTAACCTCCATGCCAAATATGAAGACTGTGGGTCAAAGGAATCTTTAGTTATTGGGCGGACAAGAAAAAACCGACGGACGGCCAGAAGGCCGGACGGACAATCTGATTCCAGTATACCCCCCTTACAACTTTGTTGTGCGCCAGTATACCCCCCTTACAACTTTGTTGTGCGGGGGTATAATTAAGAAACTGAACAGATTCTTGCGTGTTTCACTAGGTCAGCATTGTATATATTTTGCTTTATAACTGGACAAACAGTCAGTTAATTATTGCTGACAACTTATTGTTACAGCTGAGAGAAAAAATATCTGATCTTTGTGTAATGTCCGATGAACTGCAGTTAAAAATATGTCCGATGAATGGGTCAAATTGTGTGTAACAAGTAAAAATAGTTTAAGTTATTTAAAAATTATGACACTCAACAAACATGAAATTCTTTCTGTATAATTATTCTGTAATTGTCAAATGGTGATTGTACAATATAATTAAGTCAAGTTGTTGACTGGTTCATAGTTGACGTTCATTTAGTATGAAAATTTTCTCAATATCTTTGCAATTTTTAACCATTATGTCATATGATTTAAGCAATATTCTTTTTTCATTCAGGTGATTGGCCAGATATTGGATGAAGTTATGAGGAATTTCACCACTCAGTCTACATCAAGACGTTGGACAATATCAAACAACTTGAGCTTATTGGTAGGTATAACAAGAGATAGATAGAAAAATATGCAACTAACCTTTTGGCTGCCATTGATAAGACTTGGAGAATGGTCAAAAGAAAATCCTAAATCACCTGTGTGACTGTACACATTTATTCATTTTGCATGGACATTAAGGCTCCCACGTTTACAAGTTTTTGTAAACGTTTACACGACTGCTAAGAACCGAAACGATACCGTTTAAACGGTGGTACCTCTATGTACTATACACACCATGTATTTGAGTCGCCAAATGATGTCTTTCTTTCTATTTTTAATACATGTACAAATAAAGAATGTGCAAGGCTCATCACGATTGAGTCAGCACACATTTTTTGCATTGTAACCCCATTTTTTACCAAAAATGTATTATGTCACGAGCAATTTTGCACTGGAGGGTTGTAAACACCCATTTTCCGTTTGTTTACTTTGGAATAAACCACTAGAATTGATAAAATCCATGATTACAGGCAATGATTAAGAAATTTTGTAAGACAATATGGTCATTTCGATTAAACGGTAAACAATATCGTAAACGTTTATGAATGAAAATCGAAACGAATCCTTTTAAACGTGTAATCATGGGGGCCTTAATGGACATATGAACTATTTAAGTATTAACATAACCTTCTTTGCTTCATATACATACATGTACATTCTAGACCGTCTTTGAGATGCAAAATTGTGGAGCTGAACTGACACGAGGGAGTCACTTGAGACCTTTGTAATACTGCACTTGTAAATTAGTAATTGATCTAAAATCAACGAACAGTCCAACACCATGCAATGTTACTGATGTGAAAATACAGATATACTGCCTAACGTAGACGTCATCAGCTGAATACCCATCTATCACTGGATGTTTCGCCCCTTATCTCTGAACATCCTCTAGATGGTGGGGCAGGTAGTGTTGATCAGGTACTACCTCGTCTACGATGGCTGCCAGGTTGGTTCATTGCGTCTTAGCCAGAGCCAACTGGACGCTCTCTCTGCAGCTTTGCCAAGAGCATGTGCTGCAGTATTCCGGGCTCCTCCTTTAATGCCCACTGCTCCCAGCATTTTCCAAACTGACTGATGGAAAGCCTCTGCAACCAACTTTTACTGGGAAGACCCATGTCTTCCATCCTCTTTCTTTACAAGTGTCTGCCAAGTCTTGGTATTTCCCCTTCTTGATCTCATGTGACTCTTCTACTCTCTCTTCCCAAGGAACAGTGAGTTCTACCATCACCATCAACTTCGGAGACCTTGACCACATTACTATATCTGGCCGGAGGGATGTGTGAGTCACTTCCTCTGGGAACTTTAACTTCTTCCCAAGGTCTACCAACATTTCCCAGTTCTTTGAATCATGTAAAATGCCAGTACCTGTTGATTTTGCAGATTCTTCTCCCCCTCTTTAACAAAGTTGATAAAGTGTGGTCCAGTCTTTTTCAACGGTCTATCTTTCTTTCTCTCTTTCTCCAGGATGTCCGCCATTTCACGAAGAACTTGGTCGTGGCGCCATCTGTATCGTCCCTGGGACAGTGCAGTATTACATGGTCACATGATATGGCGTAATGATCCTACATTCCTGCAAAGTGGACAGCTGGGATCTTCTGACAACTTCCACAGTTTAAGATTCGTTGGGGAGGGTAGTAGGTCGTAAACAGATCTAAGGAGAAAACTCAATTGAATTAGAAGAATTACTCAGTTTATTTGGTTGCTAGTTGATAATTACAACAATTTACACCTAAAGCGTCCCTTCTTCCATTTTTCCAGGCACTTACAAAGCTAACCAGATAGCCTCCTCACAGGAGAGAATCCAGAGTCTTGAATTGGATTCGAACCCAGTACTGTGAGAAGCAATGTTGTTCAAAGCAACCAGCGCATAGTCCAAACAGTGGCTTGTCATAAACATTATATAAAAGCATCTTTAAACATTGGAAGCAATTAAAATATACTGTGTGATCTATTATGCAATATCTTTTACGCATATGTAGCATACTTAAACATATCTGCACAATTTTGGTATATCAATTGGCACTTTATATGATTTTGAAAAATGCCCTAAGATGCATTTTGCATTTATACAAAGTCATGTAGTCATTTCCAGGAACAAGGGTATTCTATTGGACCTGACAGAGGCAAATTAATATTTTAATAAGACCAAATGTCACCACACAGCAGAACAATTTTCAGTTTTTTTGCTTGTTTTCTCATTTACTTTTAGAAAATTGCTAAAACATATTTGTTTCATGCCATGTAATTATCCTGCAGTCTCTCTTACATTTCTCTACATAGACTTGGCACCAGCCAATCCTCAGGGAGTCTGACAGGGTACATCTTAGCTACATATAACATTAATGCATGCAGAATGTCTGAATACAATGTTCAGGGCTTGATCTTAGAGATGAAATGAAAAGTTTGTTTATACTAGCAGTATCATATTTCAGTTGAAGCTGTTAACTCTAAGCCTGCTGGCAGCAACAGATTCTGCTCAGACCAATATCAACTATCATATCTGTGCCATCTGATCATGGTCTGCACAGTCCACTATTCAGTCAAAAACATAATGTTGATATTTTCCTGGAAAATAGTCAATGGCTTTTTCCATGGTTTAATATGCACAAGTCTTTCTTAAGACAGGTTGTAAAGGTATTAAGATTAACCGTTTAAAGATCCTGTATGTTTTGTAATTGAGATTGCATACCACTCTTCATTGAATTATATGTGTATGTAATTATGCAAATTTGTCAATTTTCAAATATGGAAGAATATGTAAAATATGTATTGCAAATATTTGTACATATTTAAGGTAATCATTAAATTATATGCATTCATTTCTTATTGGAAAAATTGACTTAGAATTTATAGAAAACTAAATTCTAATTACCTCCCTTTATTTACATGAAATATTAAATTCGGTAATATCTTTATAAATAATGTTTTTTGAAACTTACAATATCGATAAATCTTAATTTGAGCATCATAATTTGTATATAAAACCATAAAAATAATGTGTTACAGGATCTTTAAAAGAAATTCAAGGAGAGAGTATTAAATTATTATGCTTTTTTTATGACATCTGTGAGATATTGCTCAGAACAGTCATATCCTGTCTGAATGAGATATAGAATTTGAGTTCTTGTTCTTCACTTTCAAAGATAAATTACAATAAAGAAGGCATTATAGATAAAGTATTTCATGATCTCTGGGATAACGTCTCAAATAAATGACTGTCATTTTCTATCAATTTTAATAATATTTGAAAAATAAACTGTAGAATACATGAAATAGTTAAAACATTCTAGCAAATATGAAATTGAGCTCATTTTGAAGTAATATTTTTCTTGTGCTTTGCTATCTTGAAAATATATTTAAAATAAAGAATAGGCTTCTTATTGAGATTATATTATAGTCCTTCACTGAAAACAAACAAATATCCTCTAAAACTAAATATAGAGATATATTGAAGCTTTGCTGAAATAGATCATAAAATAGCGGCATCAATCAAGTATGCTTCAATAAGTTTTGTAAGTTTAGGATGTAATTTGTCTATACCCCTTGGCAACATTGTCATCTGTATGTAAATCTATGTAAATTGCTGCCCGCTACACCTTTTGATAGCAATTTTACCTTTTACCGGTACCTATTATAAACTATCCATTTTGCTTGTACTTGACTAAAAATTTTAATTGGCATTTTTGATCTGTTCAGTTAGATATGACTTTTTTTTGTGTACATTAGGTAGTAGCTTGTGTGTTTTGTACATGTATTTTCAAATAGCTTAATTTTAAATTCTTGAAGTCAATTTATTCAAAGTCTGTACTGGGAGAGGTGATTTTCTTGTAAATAAAACAGAATGTATTGTGGTTTTGCTGGTGCGGTAACCATAAACATATAACCCAGACTTGTGTTTTACAATATCATATTATGTAGTTTGTACTCCATGTACATAATTATGTGTTAAAACATGTGTCTTATAATTCAAATTCATACTTTCAAATTAAAAAGTTATATCTTTTTGCAAGTAGTAGATTCTAATACATTTCTTATCTTTTTTTTCATTTTTCAAAAGATTATTTCTCTTCTTCATGATAAACTATATTTAAATGAGGATCAAAAACATATACATGTATTATAAAGAAATGGACATTTTGGCATAAATACTCTTCATCATAAGTAAAATGTACATTTAGAGCTCATAATTATTTACACTCCGCATATTACTAAATTGTATCAAAATTCATTTAATTTTACAGAATATTTGCAACAAAAATATTTTATGACCTCATAATCATTAATGGAGAATGCATGATGTTACATGTTACAAGACAAACAAAATTTGTTGTTAAAAGAAGCATTTTCTATTTATTTAACAACTTAAAATGTAATTGTTTTACATTTATTTTAGAATTAAATTACATTTGACTTTGGAACACCAGCTGTTATATTTTAACTTTTGCATGTGAAATATATTTGAGCCGCGTCACGACAAAACCAACATAATTGGTTTGCGACCAGCATAGATCCAGACCAGCCTGCGCATCCGCGCAGTCTGATCAGGATCCATGCTGTTTGCTATCAGTTTGTTTACTTGTTATAGGGTCTGTAAGCGAACAGCATGGATCCTGATCAGACTGCGCGGATGCGCAGGCTGGTCTGGATCCATGCTGGTCGCAAACACATTATGTTGGTTTTGTCGTGACGCGGCTCATTTTGTTCTTGCACAGAAAAATGTGATAATTTCCTCTTCTGTGTATATGTTATAAATTTTGGTTGAACAATTGGAGTTGGATGGTCTTATTTAGTGACGGCTGTTAAATCTATTTAGTTAACTTTTTCTTCATATAGAGGATATTGAATGAGTGTACGTTTAATAACCAGTAAAATCATATTATGCGAGCCTGAGACTGGCGAGCATAATACTGTTTTATTTAATAAGTTCAATAAATTTAGTATTGAATCTAAACAAATATAATATTCTATTTATCACAATACATAAATAAGAACGGCAAA